AGAATTCCCAGGGAGCTTTGGGGGCAAGGTTCACATAATATAGCCCTGAAGTTTTGCTTAGGTGGAATCCGTCCCCCAGTCCTGGCCGTCTTTTGATGATCTTTATATTTCAAAAAGATTCTGTGGGTAGAGTCGTAGAGCATTAGCTATGTGTAGTTTATTTTTTATTTATTTATTTTTTATTTACTAGACAGTGAGCATCCCCAATGCTTTCATGATGCTTTCTTTCTGTGACCTCACACTGACAAGGCATCTCGTTCTTTAACATTGAGGGAGGCAGAAAAATGCTTGAGTTGCTCAATGTGCGCCTTCTATACCAGTTTCAAAATGGCTTATTCTTCTGGTTTCCATGGTGACAATTAACACTGTTTCAAGGCATTGTTCCAGTCTCCATTTGGGCAGAATTTTTGGTGTGATTTTTAACAACAACAACAAAAAAAGGTTTTAGGAGGGAAAAAAGCCTTTTGCATAACTGTCAAAAAAGTTATCTCAATCAAGTCTTCATGCATTTCTAATTATATTTACTTCAGAAATCCCTGTTTTTGCTGGCTTTTGTTTTAAAACTCAGTTTTAGTACTTATGTTTTTAGTAAGTCTTGGATAAGAAATTTTTTTAAACTTTAAAAATTCTTAGTTAAAGTTAGTATTTGTGATTCTTTTTAACTCTGTTGTGAAGTTTTCTTTTTGTGTTTCTATATACACAGAGGCATGGCATTTCAGCAAGGAGTGGCCTGTGTCTTTAATTTAGATCTTTCACATATCTATTAGGAGGCTTCATTAGTCCAAATTAAATTGGCCAAGCAAATACACTTAATAATGTAAATATGCCCTTTCAATAGAGTATATTTTATTTTTGACTAGACAGCGAGGCCCACAGCAGGTGCTGTGGGGAAATTAAATACTGGATGCTTATTTACCTTAGCCCTCCAGAAAAGCCATCTGACTTTAACTTGGCTAATCTCATTTTTGGCTATTGTAGAGGAGTCTATATCATAACATCCCCCAAATACAGGACATAATGGGGCAGCCTCAACTCACTTAAATTGGTGGGTGGAATGAATATGAAAACTAAATTACCTTCTCACTCAAAGAAAAAGTAACCTTACTGGATAGGATAAGCAAGAACTGGTAGTTAATTTTCTCTAAGGCTTCTGAAAAGATATTGATGAATGAAGAACAAAACCATGCTAATATCAATATCTATCTATATATATATACAAATGACATGTGCCATAAATTTGTGTTACATATACACACACATAGAGACCTTAAATCATATCAGATTCAACTTTCAGGTACTTCAATTATTAAAATATTTTCACTTAAGTTGAATGACATTTCGGTATCTTTCATGCACGTTCAATCACATCTAACAATTAAGCTGTGTTCTCTTAGATTTTTATAGTTTGGAGGCATTGTCTGTCAATCACACTTTTATCAACCTGTTTATACAGTAAGTTACATGGTAACAAGAGAACATACTGGGGAAAAAAGGCAAGGTTCGTTTTAAATGCAATAACCTTTTGTAATAGCTGTCACAGTGAATATTTATACCAGATTCGAAGCAAAAATGTTCTGTTATGTCTAAAATTAAGTTAGTTGCTCTTTAGGTTTTTGTTATTGCAAGGCTTATCATATTTATGGGATGCATCTCAACTGTTCTCTTGACTTATCTGCTGTGTAGGAGTCACTCTAAGTTGGGATAAAGGATTGTGTGCTTATCACCAATGAACATAGTAACTGGTTGAGGTTGTCCCAGATAGCACAGCCGGGGAACTCCCTCTGTCAGTGGGAGTCAATGCATGTGGCATCAGTAAAATGCTGAAATAGAATGTTTATGCTTACCTGAAATACTGGTTTCCTCATTTATTACGTCAAAGTAGTTTTGTCAAAAAAAGTATGTAAACCTTTGTAAACTAGAGACATCTTTAGAAACATCTTTAGGATTACACAAACAGATGTCCCTCTCCCCCATTAATCACTCTGGCAAATAAAGCACTATCTAGGTTTCTAGAATATTTGTTGGTATTGAATCCAGAAAACTCGAATAGATGGTGTATTTTCTAAATGTTGGAGTTATGTGGTTGTGGTAATTGCATGCCATTAGAAAACGCAATCAGAATTTCCTATGTATTACAGGCCAAATTCTGAAAGAGCTCTAAAGCAACCCTTGATTTTTTTTCATTATGCATATTCATGTAATTTTGGATACTCTGACACCCTGATCAACATTCATTAATACTATGAAATGCAACATTCATTAATACTATGAAATGCTTTAAATCACCTCATTTAAAACATTTTGTTCTGTGATCCACAAATGACTAACATTTGGAGAAGTTTACATAATACAAATGATGTGCATGTTTAGTGTAAATGAAAGATTAAAATATGAAACTAAAAGTATGCAAACATATGCACGCAAATGCTGATGATCTATTAACAGAACTAAGGATATCACACCTTCTTTTTCTTTAGGCTGTTTTCAATTGTATTTTAGTTTAGGATCTTATATAATATGTTTTCAAGGTGAATAAAATCTTTCAAATGCTTGGGCATGCTTTGACTTGCTAATTTGCCACTTTGCCCAGACAAAAGCTTTCTTATTAGATCTGATAAGGTTCTCCTTTACGACAATGGAGTAATGCCACCAAGGGCCCCACTACCCTGATTTTATGCCTTGAAGAATGATGTTTCATTATATTTTGAAAACATGTTCAAAATTGCTTATTATTTTAATCTGAACTGGGTTTTCTACTTAAAGGTATTTGGATGTATACATTTAAAAAGTATAAGCATGATCTTTTGTAACTGTCCATAATTTAGAGCTCTCTAACTATGAAGTTATCCAAATAGTTGTTTGAAGAGAATCACCATAGTAACTACCATTAAGTAGCAATTGCATTGTCTCTAGCAAAACATCTTTTAGGAGTGAGACATTTGGTTGTTAGAATATAAGTAAAAGAAAAAAGAAAAGAAAACTTCATTGAAAATGTACAGGATCTTATAGGAAAAGGAGAAAGTTACTCATTAAAAAATTTGGGAGTGAGGGGGGTGTTATACCTGGTGATGTCAGATTTGCACAAGGCTACTCCTGTCTGTAGCCTTAGAGGTTAATCCCAGAGGTACTAAGAGTACTAAGAGGACCACGAGGTGTCAGAAGTTGAATCCAGGTCTCTGGCATATAAAATATGTGCACTAAGTCTTTGACTGTTTCCCTAGCCCACATGTTAAAGTATACGATTTTGTTTGTACCACTATGAAGTTGATCTTTTGAGGAACAGAGATGAGATATAGGTACCATTCTAGAGTCAATTAATTGCTAGGGAGATCGTTGCTCCACCCAAACCCTAAGCAAGCATTTAGGGTTTATTATAATTGGCCATTGCATAGTTCCTATATTTCTTATTACTCCATGTATATGGAGTAATAAGAATATAATTATATATATATACATATATATATATATATATATATAGTGAGGTCATTTAGTATTTGTCATTGTTTCTTCTACTCACTTTTCTCATTTTGGTACCCTCCAGTTCTATCCAAGCTCAGGATTTATTCCTGGCTCTTTGTGCAGGGATCACTCCTGATGATACTCAGATTACCATAAATGGTGCTGGGGATTGAACTGTAATCAGCTGTATATTAATGTAGTGCTTATTCTCTGTTCTATCTCTCCAACCCCTTGAGGCAATTTTCAGATATTTTCCTATTTGAAATATTTTAAATTAAAGATTAAATGTGTGCATAAACTTTTAAATTTATTTTTAATTTAAACACTGTGATTTATAATAGGATTAGTATTAATGTTTCAGATTAGTATTAATATATCATTGTTACCCCACACTTACCACCAAAGTACCAGCATCCCTCCACCACTCTCTCTAGCCCCGACCCCACTCCCTACCCTAGTAAACTCAGTTCTATTGGCAAGCATTTAGGGTTTGTTATAATTGTCCATTGTATAGTTCCTATATTTCTTATTACTCCATATATATATGTGTGTGTCATTTAGTATTTGTCATTGTTTCTTCTAACTTTTCTCAGTTTGATACCCTCCAGTTCTATCCAAGTTGCAGTAAACTGCAGGATTTCATCTTCTCTTACAACTGAGTAGTATTGTATTATCCTAGAAATACCCACAATTTCTTTATCCAAGTCATCTGTTGTTGGGCACTTAAATTGTTTCAAGATTTTGGCTTTTGAGAATAGTGCTACAGTCAAAGTAGGAGTGCAGATGTCTTTTTAAATACACACACACACACACACACACACACACACAATGTTTTTGTGTTCTTGGACATCTTAAATGCCCAAGAGTGGGTTCTCTGAGTGTTATGGTCACTTAATCACTTAATCACTTAACTTCCCGTTAGTCGTCTATTTGCTCGAGCGGGCGCCAGTAACATCTCCATTTGTCCCTGTCGCGTGCTAGTGTAGCCCAATGGCATCTGTTCGCCAGATGAAAGAGAGAGAGTGTTATGGTAGTTCTTTTAATTTTTTAGAAGACTCCACACTGTTTTCCATAGAAGTTGAACCAGAATACATTTCTACCAATTTAACTTTATTTTTTAAAAAACACACACCTTAAGGCCCAGGAGATATTACAATGAATAAGTCATCTGCCTTGCACACAGCAGACTATTTGATCCCTGCTTTTACATGTGGTCCCCTGAGCAAAGGCAGGGTTCTCTTTAGAACATAGAGGTAGGAGTAATCTCCAAACAAAGCCAGGTGTGACCCGGTCTCCCCTTATGTCCCAATAAAAAAGACACATCTTAGTCTACTAAGTGGAATATCATGGATATTTGCATAAGAGTATATCACACTTTTTTTGCTTTCACTAATATCCCTCAATCACTCAAGTTTCATAAATTTAGCTTACCTATAAATTTTGTTATATACAAAAACTTTGAATTCCCATGATCATTACTCATTCTCAAAGGTTTTCTAAGAACACTACTCTCCCTTAATAATATCCTTTTTCTCTTTTAGCGATACAGTGTGGAAATGTCCATCAGGGGCCTGAAAAAGACGGAGCTGCTTAGTAAGGTTGAAGCTTTGAAGAAAGGTGGCGTTTTACTACCAAATGATCTCCTTGAAAAAGTGGATTCAATTAATGAAAAATGGGAACTGCTTGGGGTATTTGCATTTTTATTACTGTTTGTAGGTTATGTGTACATTTTTTTGTGTAGTGAAGTACTCTATCTGTCTGATTTCTAATTTGAAGCACAAATATCTCTCTCTTTCAATTCACTACCTACATTTCAAACAAGCTATTCATGCTATTATGGGGGAAAAAACACTGCTTCTCCTCTTCTGTTGATTTTTTTTCACTCTGAGCTTGTCTCCTCTCAGATTTTAATAATTTTGGTTCTTTAATACATAAAAAGTAAGTAAAATATGCCATGTATTATGGGTATGCACCAAGTCAAGTATAATACAGTATATCTGATATACACTGACTGTCACGCTTGAATGAATGTTAATAGAATTTATTCTGAAGGTACATGTTAGAGACATCCACTATTTAACTATTTACTGTACCCTTTGGATGAAAAGTGGAGTTGTCACTATAGCTTTCAAGTCACACTAAAGCCACCAAAACAAAGATGCAAATTTGACCCAAATCTGAATTGCAGAAATAAATCGGCCTCTGCTTTGTGCCTCAATTTCCAGCTCACTTTTAACAAAGCCAAAAAAAAAAAGTTTCATGTAATTCATTTCACGCAATGATGGGCTGGGTCTCAGCCAAAGACTGAGATGCAAGAATCTGGCAAAAAGGCAATATAGAGATTCTGTTACCCAGAGACCAGGATGGCTCTGTGCAGGAGACAGTACTGTCCTTTTGTTGGAAGACAGCTGAGAGAGAGAGAGAGAGAGAGAGAGGTTAAACTGTATTTTTTTTCATCAACTTATCTCCTAAATTGCCTTCACTTCAAATCAAGGGTAAGCTAAATTTGTCAATTACTTAAATGATTAATTATAACAGCACAGTATGGGTGGTGTCAGTTTTGAAGCATAATTTTGCATGCTCTCCATTTCCTTCCTTTTTTTTAATTTTAAGGAAATAATACTCCAAAAATATTTTGAATAAAAAGCTCTCCATGTACCTTGATGACTTGGAGGAATGCCAGTGTTCAGTTTATGCCACATTTAATCTAGGTGATTAAAAAAAACCTGCAAGTTTAAATCCCTGCTTCCTCATCTAAATTCACGACACTCTGCAGTTGTGCAAAGTAACTTAAAATGTTAAAAGTTTTTACTTTGACCTAGCATTACATTACTTTTTAATACTAATTTCTGGCATTTGCTTGATAATATGATGATATGAGTCAGAACTTAGTAATACAGAAGTCACTGATTTCATACAAGAAAAATGTGGTTTAGTTATGGCATTTTCAAAGGTTGTTTAATAAATAGAAGAAAACAACTACATTTTGAGCTTGATAAAGTTATAGTGTATATTGCATCTCAGTCTATGTTCTTAATTTGATAAATAGCTTGGAATGTCTTGTAACTTGCTTTTTTAACCAAGTACTTAAATCAGTACGTAGTATAAAAAATAGAATTATTTATTTATCCCTTATGAGCCAAATGCCTTAAAAATGGTTGTCATCTTGGAGAAAATCAATTGAATACAATATGCAGAGTTTTGTAGTGACTGGGTGGATGGGAGAAGGGTTTTTGTTGTGGTGGTGGTTCTTTTTTTTTTTTTTCAGTAAAACCAGTGCCAAACTAACAACACCAAGCTTTTTTCTTTAATTAGCATGATTACATTTTAATCGGCATAAAAAAATTTAAAGACAAGGATTTTAACTTCTAACAATAGTAAAATAGAGGGATATGGTTTTTAATACTACTTTCATCTAAGGTGAACAGTGTGGAATGGAAATACATTAGAATGAAATGTCAGTGGTGCGTACAGTTTAATCTGTGAAATTTTGTCCCCTGTGCTGCATATTACTCTGTCTCAATTGCATATTAAACAACCCTATCAAGGCAGGCATTGGCATCTGCTGTGCTGACACAAATTGTGAATTAAATGAAATTGATGTCCTCTGTCGTATATTTATGAAGACGGACCATTCTCTGAAGTATTCTGTTTATGAAGAATTTATGATTGCAAACTGTTCCAGAACAAAAAAGTGGCAATAAATTCTTTTTTGTGACCCTACCCTCCAAGGGCATTGATTTCACCTCCTGCTGCTACTTTTGTTACAGCATAAAAACAATAGCTAAATCTGGATTCCACCGAGGGTCTTCAAATTATCAATATTTGCACCATGAAAATACACGGGTGTCGCCAAAATAGGCTATTTTTCTGTTATGATCTCCTAAAGATACTATTTACAGAACTCTACACAGCAGATTAATGTTTGTTGACTTAATTTTATTTGCATTTTGAAGCTGATTTTTGTAGATTTAACTCCACATTATAGATGAACTCTTACTGAGTCTCCAAAGAGTGTTTTCCATTTTTTTTTTAAAAAAATGCCCTCACCTCTGTGTCTGACTACACTGTTGTGCCATCATGTTCATCTAAAAAGGTGATTGTAGTGTATGATTGGGCCTCATTTAACATATATTAAAAAGTCTCACAGTCACAAATGCAAAGTGAGAAGAATTATGGAGTTGAGTAATTTCCAAGTCAGATTAGATGAGCAACAGCACCCTTCTCAGCCGCCCTAGTTGTGTGGTTTGGAGAATTTTACTTCACAAAACAAAACAAGGTGCCTAATTCTTTGTGCAAAATCTGCTCGTGATCTTTAGCTTATTGATTTAAAACTCAGACTTCTCTCTGCTAAGAATTTCATGCAGAGAATTTTTTTTTCACTGTTAGCTTTTATCAGGAGAATTCAAATGAGTTTTTATCAGTGATCATCAGTGAACTTCTGGGTCAAATATTCTTTCTGTTAAAGGAAAGTATTAGTGAACAAGTTCTGCCTAAACCTCTGATAGTCAGAATAATACACATTGCTTAAGAATTCAAATGAAGTGAACAATGAGCTAATCTGAACTGAATGTCAGTTGTGAGGTGGCAGGTAGAGCTGGACACCTGCCAGGTGGTTCTTGTTACCAGACAAACTGATGTGTTTTTACTACCTAAGCTAATCTATGTTGTTGGGGTTTTTTTTGTCATTGTTGATGTATTGTTTGTTTGTTTGTTTGTTTAATTTAATCGATGCATTAGAAAACCCTCGGAGAGCAGACCCAAGACACAATGGTGGGGCACAGTGGGTCAGGTCCCCGTGACCTGCTCTCTCCTGAAAGCGGAAGCCTGGTAAGGCAGCTGGAGGTCAGGATCAAAGAACTGAAAGGGTGGCTGAGAGATACAGAGCTTTTCATCTTCAATTCCTGCCTGAGACAAGAAAAGGAAGGAACAATGAATGCTGAGAAACAACTGCAATACTTTAAGGTAATAAAAAAACAATCAAAGTTGATAAAAAGCTTTCTTTATGTTAGGGATGAAATATTTATCAAGTACATGAAGTATTATGCCTGTGTATCTGTATATTACTGTGCACTTAAATGATTCCTTGAATTTATAGACACTCGCTACATTTCTTATGTGCCAACGTCTGTATGTGTATAAAGATGAACATTAAACATAACACGTACACATTGTATCAGAGAAATCTCTAGTGTTTGTGTTTGTAAAATTCCTGTTGAGGGAGGCTTTGATAAATTAAAAGCAGACCAGACTGGCAAACACTTGAAACTGCAGAAAACTTTGGAAGGTAGGCCTAAAAGTTCTATAAATAATGTGCCTAAGAATACTCCCATAAAGTGATATGATGAAAGCACATGATTTAATTGAAGTCCATTAATGTTGGAAAAAAGGAAAAGGAAATAATAAAAACAATATAAATTGTTAATAAAAAGGAAACAATTCTTACATAGAAAAGAGTCAACTCTGGAGGGAAGAAATCATGTAAAAGAAATACCTCCATTACAGGCATATTCCTCAGTAGAAAATGCAAACCTTCACACCACAGTTGTATGTGTGCATTACCCCATGGCCATGAAGAAGACTTTGTTCCTGTTCTTTTCCATGGTTTACCACTGTTTCTTCAAAATCAGTAAAATTCAAATGTGTTTTTTTGCGACCTTTCACTGCCTAAACCTGTTTGTAAATCTCTGTTTCCTTGGGTACTAGCTGGTTTCTACCTTAAACTTTAGCATATGATGAACCTGGTAGCAGGAAAACCTTCTGGCATGAAAGTTGTTGAGAGGAAAACAAGGAAAATCAAGAGGAAAAGAACTTTGAGGGACTAAGTGACTCTTTCTCAAAGGCTTCCAGAGCTAGGTTTCATTTATCCCTTACTCTTTGTCCTATAGTTTTCACCTTTCGGTCAGAGAACTTAGCCACAGATGGTCTACCTCCCATCTGCCACAGGGGCAGGCTGGCCTCACCTGCTCATCCAAGGGAAAGTCCCCTCAGAGTAAGGCCACTTTATTTCTAAACAGTCTGCAGTGCATGCCCAAAAGTGGTTTTGGTGAAAGTCCCTCTTTAGCTATTGAATTAAAATATCAAACTGGAAAATAAATGGTAGCATTTGCCAGAATAAATATGTTTTCCTGTGCAAAATTCACTGCCTATCTGATTTGTTTCACTCTTACTTTTCTCACCCAAACCCACATTGCAGTGAGTCGAAGTCTTCAGATAGTCCCTATGCTTTATTTAAACATAACCTATGATTTCTAAAGCATCCTGGTCATTAATGGATGGGATGTTGTGAAATTTATTTTTCTCTACTGTGTCTCTTTTGTAGTTTTAGTGACTTATGTAATGACTCTCATGCAGTTGTACGACCTTGCTTATGTCTGTGCTGTGATCCCTTGGTGTCTTCATTCTTGGTCTATAGAAGAGTGCCAATAGCATTTATCACACAGGATTATGAGTTCACATACACAATTACTTTTATTTTCTGTGTGGCTCATGAGAAACAGAAATTTTTCCTTTATTTTACTTCTTTTCCTTTTAGAGGGCGGAGAAGAGAGGGCTATATCTGGCCCTACTTAGGGCTTACTCCTGGCTCTGAACTCAGGGATAACTCCTAGCAGTCTTTGGGACAACATGGGGTCCTGGGGACAGAACCCAGATTGGCCATGTGGAAAGCGAGCATCCAATCTACTCTACTATCTCTTTAGCCTGGAAATAAAAACCTCTTAATATGATATGCCTGACAATGTTGTACAATAGTTGAAAGCAATCACAGGAAGTTTGTTATTATAGTTATTTGTATATGCACCTATCTACCCTCATATTTCCATAGATATTGGAAAACAACATTTTCCTTTTACACTATTATAAATGAAAACATTAGCAATTCTGAATTAATTTTTTCTGATGCTTCCAGAGGACATTGGTTGTCTGCTTTAGCTTTGTAGAGTGACATCAGCATAATTTTTAGTGAGGCCCTGATAACAAACTTAAAAGAGCTTAAAATACACAAAGATATGCAGAGAGAAATTCTGAGCTTCCAGATCATTGGATAATTCCTGTGTGTCCTTGTCATTTACTAACACTTTCTAGCTACTAGAGAAATATTCTCTAAATCTAATTTATTATTTATTATGTGCATCTCACTATCTGAAAATAATAAGAATTTTTATTTAAAAAGTACTAAAGGTCATTATAAACTTTCTTTCTCATTTCTTCCAAGATTTTCTTTTTTATTAGAGCTATGTTTCTCAAATATTTTTTCAGCATAACCTCCCATAGAACTTATTTCCCTCCTGTGGATCCCAGCCCACCCAATCCTACTGGTTAATCCCTTATCTCCCATTGTATTCCCCATTAATAAAATTTTCTCCTGTAACCCCCTTGGAATATCCTGGGAAGTCACAAGGGTCATATGGCCCTGCTTGTTGCTTTTATGTCTGTATATTTGGGAATAAATGTCTTTTCTAGATAGCATTCAATTTTTTTAAATTTTACTATATATACCATGGTTTCCAGTATTGTTAATGATACGGTCTCATGCAAACAATGTTCCAACACCACACCTCCCATCAGAGTGTCCTCTTCAGCCACTTCCCCTACCCCTCATCTTAATCCTGGTAAACTCCGTTCTGTAAAACAGCTCTCAGGTCCTGCTGTCTTTTACCATCTTTTATTTCCTTACCTTGTTTCTTTATATCCCACATTTTAGGGTGATAATTCTATGTCAGTCCCTCTCCTTCCGAATGATTTCATTATGCATGATATTCTCCAGAACCATCCACATAGTAGCAAACTGCATGATTTTATCTTTTCTAACAGCTGAGTAGTATTCCATTACATGTGTACACACACACACACACACACACACACACACACACACACACACACACACTATAGTTTCTTTATCCAAGAACAGTCATTTGTTCTTGGACACTTGTGTTGATGTCATATTTTGGCTACTGTGAATAGTACTGCAATGAACATAGGAGCACAATGTCTTACTGGAATGGAGTTTTGGGGTCTTTGGCAGTAAATGACAAAAAGTGGATTAACTAGAATTCTAAATGTTTCTGAGCTGTTTACTCTTTAACACTCAGTTATGAGTTAATTGAGTATTTGTATATCACCACCATAATTGAAAAATGCAACTGAAAGCTTTCTGCATAATAATATAAAGTTTATATCCTAAAGTTATATAATAATATAAAGTTTACTTTTAAAGTTAAATCATTACTGATAAAATTATAAGCATAATAAAAAAATTTTACTTGCCACATATCCCAAAGTAGATGCCTTCTTTTTCTGATTGATAAAATGGTTCAGCTAGGAGAATTATCAAAGAATTTTTACATGTAAGAAACTCTGCAATGTTTTGTCTCTTCTTGTGTATTTTTTAAATGTCTTATACTGTCATTGGTCACGCAGAAAAACAGGCTTTATCCATAGGGTTTAACTTTATGTTTCTCCATTCTCTAAAATTTTGGGGTTTTAAGAGAACAAATTCCGTTATATGACACCCAGAGTAATGATAGATAAGCCACAGTGCACTCCCCAGGAGAGTAGGGAGTGAGGGAGGCATATAAAAAGGAAAACTCCTTACTTTGTAGGCAGAGCTGTGTTTCTCCAAGCTTGGTCTAGAACAACAGAAGGGATCAGGATCTGAAGTTTTCAGAAAAAAGAGAAAAAGCAGTTTTGGAAGTTATTCTTTTTTCTTGAAGGCAGTAAGGGTGATAAATGAGAGGTTATGAGGAAGGCAAAATTCTACCTGAGAAATAGACTAAGAGTACAACCCCAGGGAAAGATTCGAGGGTTCAAGTGTAGGAGTCCAGAGACAAAAAGTGCACAATTGCTGAGAAGTAAGAGCTTGGAAATAGAGTGCAGGGGAGTACCTCAGAGAGTTCCTGAGACCAGTCTGGGCAGGAGACTCTTAGCCTGTAACGCAGCTTCAATGCACTGGCTGAAAATCTCTTTTTCACCCATGACCCTTCAGAGAGAAAAAGAAAGGAATCACTTAATCAAATGTTCATTTTGTTTTTAACCAAATTAATTAGTCTAAAGATTCAAATTGGGTAGAAATTATCCATTACCTCTCAAAGATTCAAATTGGGTAGAAATTATCCATTACCTCTCAAAAGCATTCATGTTGAACAAGGTGCAGACCAATCTAGGAAGGACAAGCTAACATCTGTCACGGAGTCTGTCATCATACAGGTGAGGAAGAGCTGGTCATATAGCTCAAAGAGGGAGAGAGGACCTGTCTGGCATGAAAGCCCAAGTTCCATCCCTACAATGACTCTCAGAACACTACCAGGGTGGCCCCTGTGTTACCTACCATAGTACCACTCAGCCTGAACCCTACACTACTGGGTGGCACATCACCACCATAGTCCTGGGAGTAGCCTGTCAACCACCCCAACCCTAAAGGCTGTGGCCCTGATTTTTTGAAAAGAGAAGGTGAATGAGTGACATTAATTTGGTAATCTTGTCAATGATAAATGCCCGAGATTTGCTTGTTATTTAAATTTTACTATACACACTTTTATGAATGCTATATACTCAATATAGCAATTGTATAAGTTATATAACTTTTATAATTACATTTTTATAATCACATGTTGACAATTGTGATCAATTTTTATGAATGAAGAATTTAAAATCCAGAAAATTAATGTGAATGTTTGAATGTGCACAGTATCAGCAATAGAGCCAAGCAAAAGTCATGGTCTTAGCATTTTCTGTAAAAGGCCAGTTAAAACAGTCTCCATTTCAGTTACTCAAATCCATTGTCCAACCATAAGAGCAGTCACAGACAACATGTCAGTAAATTAAACTTGGTTTGTACAATAAAACTAATGAACAAAACTGTTTGCAAAAGCAGACAGTGGCCCAGATTTGTCCCATGGACCTGCATTTCCTGATCCAGCTCTGTATTACAAAAGAAGAATCATAATCAAGAGGATGGATAGCTT